CCAGCTTGGTAACTTGATAGCTGCTGGTATCCAGAAACCCTACTGCCCGGAAACAAATGAATTGAATCGAGTAATGGGATATACCAATTCAGACCCAACTGCCAACTGACTAGAATTAGTGCAGTCAAGTGGCTAGGCTTCCATCCATTTGATACTGCAAAATACTTGAAGTCGTACTGAAAGAACAAGGATGGAGCACAAAGAAATCGATAGGTTTATACTAGCTATTGTGAGTGGTATTGGATATTGGACTCATTCCCAAGGTCATGTGATTGGGGGTTTAATTAACGAAAATCATGCTTTTCGTGCCAATACAAATATTTGCAAGTCATCAAAATCGTATACATCAGGTCTATCTGCAGATGCACCATGAATCTCGCTACTAGTTGTTGTAAGTTCTTTCATTTAAATATTGATAAGTTCTTTGATTCTAATAATCACTTCCTATTCTTATATAGAGCTTCAACTAATTTTCTTGATATTTGAAAACAATCATAAATGTTTCTGTTTTCATAATTTCTTCAGCGACACTGCTTGTACCACATCAATCATTCCTGCTGGAACAAGTTATTAGATCCTTATTCTGTTATTAAGCCTGTTGAGGCTTGAATTTGGCATTACTGGTGACGAATTCCTTATTCTTGGATGTTGTAATTGTCTAATCAGTGGTGGTTTGTCTCCAGTGATTTATTATGAGTGGTCTTGGATCATTTGTTCCTGGGTTATGAAATTTAAGTGTGATTCAAGAATAATTTTCTCTAATAACCACTAGTGGGAGTTTTGATAACTTATCGACTACAAAGTCAAATTAGAAAGATAAACGCATGACTCCGAATCTTTGCCACTATCATGTTCAGGCAGAAAAAATCGAGGTTTCGAGTTAGAGGTTCAATTCCATTACTGCTGCAAAACTCAAAGACCTGAAGCGGAGAGTAAAAGAATTGTCTCTGCAGAAATTCAAAACCGTATACAACGGAAGTAGTCAGAAAACTAACTAAACAGAACGCCATTCGCTCAAATGATTTACAGTTTCCTAGTGTTAACTACTACCAGAGAGCTGAACCCACATCGAGGTAGGATAGAAAGCTGTTAAAGAACTTAATGTATGTAACTCTGGCTATCCTCAACATAAATGTCAAGCAGTCAAACAACAAAGAGCTTGTGTCTGATTTTTTGAAATTGTTCAGGCGGTAAATTTCTTCCAACTGCAAGCAGTTCATTCACAAAATATAAATTTCAAAAATCCTCAGTCCTAAGGACTTTGTCCATGTAAAGAATATTTCGAGATTATATGATAAGTGTTTGCTGAATGACTGTTAAGAGCCGCCTTAACTCAACCCTAGGTGACCTCAAAGCTTTGTAACGCAAGACATTCAAAATCAAAGAGATGCTGTGGCGCTCACATTTATATAAATCGGCAGGTCTGATTGAAATCAATAGTAGAGTAGCAAACGAATGGAGTGATGTAATAAAAATGGAATAAAATTGAATTGCAAATCGATAATCTTTCGAGACGAAATTAACATGTCAAAAAAGACAACTAACCGGGTTTTCAAACCCTAATGAAAGATGGTGATCAAAGAAGAGGGACGATGGATGTTCATAAGGACCATGAAGCTTAGTCTTCCATGTTCATACTTTGTGTATAACGGATTTTCATATCAAATATGTCACACTCAACTACTTCACTCCCTATCACTAGTTCAGATGCCAACTGAAGCCAGTCCTAAAGCAAAATTTTACATTTCGAGGGGGAGTACCGCATCACGAACATACTTGCATTGTTGTTAAAAGTAGTCAGAAGACTGTATTGTTAGCATCTCCAGCAAATAGAGCTACGTCATCGGCATATTATAAGTCAACAGGAGAAATTCCTGGTAGGTTAACTCCTGAAAATTTAGACGACGAAAGGGTCATCTCTGAAAGCATATCGGTAACTAAGTTGAATATGAATGGGGAAAGTGGGCAACCCTGATGAACACCACTTGACGTCATCAATTCTGATGACGGTTCTTTATAAGCTCTCACTCAACCAGCAGTGTTCGAGTAGAGAGTTTGTATGAGATTAATGTACCTCTCCGGTACTCCTTTCAGTGACAAACACTGTCATAGAACCTCACAACCAAGAATCGAATGCCGCCTTAAGGTCAAGAAATACTACTACTGTCGGACGCCTGAACGTGTGTCTATGTTCTAGTATCTGATGTAGTGTGGACATCTGGTCTTTACAGCCAAGTCCCGGTCAGAAACAAACCTGGTTTTTTCGAGTCTGCTCTTCGGGAGTTCCAGCTGGGTACCGAAGCTAATACTTTGGAAACTATATTAGTTGAACTTAATCCTCTGTAATTGTCGGATGGGATTACCTCCAGTTCCCAGATTCTACCTAAGATCTCGGTTAGTTTCACTGCTAAAACTGGACCAACATGCTTAAAAACCTCAGGGGTTAGCCTATCAGGTCCTGCTGCTCTCTCTCTCTCTTTAGACTTCCTATAGCCTTTTCAATTTCATTAAGAGTTGGAAGACCTGCATCAACTTTCCATTCGGGTTGACTGGAGATGGCGTGTAGTTGAGGTGTTGTTGAAGGTTAGTTGAACTGCTCCCTAAAGTGTTCTGCTCATCCATCCAATCTCCTGAAGTGAGAATGAATGCTAGTCTCATCTTTTTCCGAGATAGTTTCACTAACAGTCGGTTTTCTAATACCGGTTTCCTTGGTAAATCTGAATAGTTGTCTACTCGTACCTAAGGCCGTTGCCTTTTCCATGTCTCTAGCTTCTTATAAGCCTGCGCCTAAGCTGACTCCGTTTCCGAGCATCTATCAGTTCAGTAGATGCTACTGAGATCCAATACTTCTCTCTATCCTTATGATTTGTCTTACTGGCAAATATCACTGCTGTTTCCACAGTTTTTTTGATACCATTCCAATCTGCCTCGGGGTGGGCATCACTCACACGGCTTTCAAAGTGTATTTCTATTTGCGCTCGAAACATACTCTTCGCATTTTTATCGTTAAGTAGAACTTTGAGTTGTTTCCTTGCTGTCTTTCATCCAGCAAGACGCAGACATATACGTACCCCTACTAGAGCGTGATCTGAATCCAGACATGTTCTCCAGAATGAGCAGCAACCTTCAACTAAACCTCTCTATCGGTGGCCGATAGTTGGCTCCATCGTGTGGTCGATTTCAGGGGGCGCCATGTCACGATGTTTTTCCTTATGGCTAAAGTTAGTACTTGCAAGAAATAGGAGGTTATCTGAGCACAGTTGCGACAGATGTTTGTAATTGTATGTTCTCTGAGACACAACACCATAAGGCCCACCCAGATGTCCTTCAGTTTCGCTTAGTCTACCTACTTCAGCATTCAAGTCACTAGTCACTATTACTACATCAGAGTGCTTAGCTTTTTGAAGGTTAGAAAGTTTTCGGTAAAACTCATCTTTTACCTCATCTGAGCTGCAACCAGTAGGAGCGTAGGCGGAGATAACACGTGCAACTGCGAGTGTCCCTATCTTCTCGAGTTCTTACTGTCCCGCACAGTCGGACAGTGCCCAAGCGACTATCTCCTGGGATTCCGTCTGAAAGCTAGTTTCGCCTTCAGATTGAATGCCATACCTGCACCAGCGAGGCAACGGGAAGTGTTTGTGGCTTTCAGATATAAGAAGAGTAAGTCGCGACGGTCCTCTATTTCGACAAGGTGAGATCATACGCATAACTGTACTGAGATCCTGTATGCGCGTTTCCGAGACGCAGCATACATCGATGACACGAGATTCTAGAGTGCTATCTAAGGAAACTTGCTGTCATATTTGGCACAAGGTTCGAACGTTGAAGGTTCCAACGTGCAGTTTAGAGCGTGGTTTCAGGACACCAGGAATAACGTTTCGTGTACTCGAATGGTTTGTGTCAGGGTCGTGAGGTTGTCAAGGAATGAGAGAGATTAGTCGTGGAGGTAAGAGAGTTACTGAGAGGTATAAGGAGGTTTTTATTATGACCGATTCGGTCTTGTGTGTTGTTGCGGGTATGATGGCGGATGTCACTTCTCAGCTGCCCACGCCGTGGTGTGGTATTTTACCAGCAGCCTGCAAAGGAAATTGGTTTGGCGTTGGTCTTAGAGACCTGGGAGCGTGACCATAGTGCCCAAAGGACAACTACTCGAGGCCGGTTACACATGGTATTTTTATGATGGTTTGCAGTGTTAGCTCCACTCTTGTTTAAAAGGCCTTACCACCGGAGACGGAAATCCGTGGCGTAATGTGGTTTGTGACATTTTTAAGGTCGACCTTTTCTAATCTGCAGCATCGTCATATGGTATCACGTCCACCACCTTATAACCATAGGTTTTATTTTCTGAAAGACTATTTTCTATTTCAAAATATTTCAGGACAAATAGCGTTAAAATCTATCATACTTTTGAATTTGGCTTGAAATTTCATTTTTCCTTGAACTATGACTTTGTATATTTTATGATCGATTCTCAAGTTTGATATCTTACCGTATTGATAGCTCAAACACAATTATTTGAAACACTATAGATGCAGTTTTTTCGATTGATGAGCTCTGGGAATCTGCTGTTTCATTTCTAATCACAAATTGTATCATTTGGCGAATCGCATTGATTATAGATTAGGACGAGAAAACAACAGTCGGTAAAGGCAGTCCTACGTCCCTTATAGATAGGTAAACTTGTAGCATAAACTCGTAGCCTGTATTATTATTTTTTGGCTCTAATCCTTCTTCCCATTGTTTTTTGTTTAAACAATAATAGAAATGAATATACGAATTGTCTCCATCTTATTTAGTTAGATCAAAACAAGTATATTGGTCATTTGGTTCTGATCATTTAGGCCACTAAAAGATACGAAACGCTAATTTTTATAGTAACGATAAAGTGACAGCCAGAAAGTTTTGACCTTAATAGATTTAAGTAATATAATCCCGATAATCTATGTATAATTACTAAACAAATTAATAAATTAAGAGAAATATCTATAAAGGCAATAAATAGAAGAGAAAAAGGCATCGTATGAAGTTAGTTTAATTGCACATATGTAATTGAACAAAACTTTGGTATAAGCATAAAAAGCTAGATAAGTTGAAATAATATATGACAAGAGAATAGAAATGAGTAAACTGGAAAATAAAACAATGAAAAAGAAATAAAATGATGACAGGTATGTTAATTAGTGTGTTTATTTGAAACACAACATCAAATCAGTATACATAAATATGTAATATAAAAGCAAATGAATAAATATCAGAAACATATTTGAATAAAATATAAAATGACAAGTCAAAATTCACTGGATTAGTAGCGGATAAATTTGAAAGGTAACAATGATAACAATTGACCCTATCGAAGACTGTATGAAAGCGATAGAAGATTTAATCATGGGAGGAAGATGATACACAAGTCGGACATCACGTGTATTCAGATGTAAAAGAACTAAGCGTTCTCAAACTACTAACGGATTTGTCAACGAGGAATTAGTGCTAGTGGAGTTGTTTTCGTTGTTATTAGAACATCTGTTGGTGTACTCATGTAGACTTTTAGTCAATTTAACCATAGGGATGGAATGGCTTGAAAAAGTTCTTAACGAGCACCCTATTTTTGTCAATTCAACATCGTCGTCATTATCATCATCATAATCATCGTCAGCATTCTTTTTATCATTTAGACCATCATAACTATCCTTGATGATAGCTTTTTGAATTGGATCGAAATCGGCTTGCATTATTCGACGACGAATTTCACGTATCTTCAATTGTAAAGCTTGACGGTTAGGAAAGTAGCAGGCATAACATTGTTGAAAATGAGTAATTACTGGAACTGGATAAAAAAAATATGATGAAAACAAGAAAGTTTAAGGTTATAAAGCAACACATACACATGGAGAAATATATACTCTCTTAAAATGACCAAAGTCTGAAATACAATATTTCGGAATGTTTAATATCAACGATCATGGAAAAAAGAACAGATCGTAAACGTTTCCTTACGGAGTACTATTGAATTTTATGTAATGTCAATGGAATGTGAGGGAACTGGCAATATATATATATTTGGTCGATTTAATAAGCTATTACTCATAAATAGTTTCTAGTTGACATCAATTCGTGATAAAAATCCAACTTCAACATATGAGATAGCAATTGTTAGAACGTTAGATCGTATTTTTATCAGAGTTCACATTATATAGCTAATATATTTTAAAACAAATGTACAAAATATTTGAAATAATCGTTATTTTTTGAATCAGATTTATATATATATTTTTTCTCTTAATAATTTATCATGCATAATAAATATATATATGAACATTATTTATATTCATACATAATTATCATGAACACATACTTGATGGAAACAAACCATATTCTTGGAATAATTGTAAAACTAATTTACGTCGTATATGTAAAATAGATTTTGATTTCATTTTATTTATTTCAGATAAATGAGGAAGTTTCAATGATAAATTTTGATTGATTTGATTATTAATTTTTGGTGCAATTGGATGATTTTTCAATGAATGATTCAACGGAGTTGAATTCGGTGAAGAATCATGTAGGCATGAATTCAATGAACCATCAGTAGTTAATTTTAATTCATTGATATTTGGAAAGTTTTTACCGAAAAATATATTATTTTCCGAATAATAACTTGATTTTTCTGTATCCTATATAGTTTAAATTTAAATCAAAACAAAAATGACACATTTTCAATAAATGATTAAATCTAATAATCATAAAAAAAAATTTAGAATTGACATAAGTTATATTATAAAATAAGCAGATCATCTCTTTTAATATTTCAAATTCATGAGAATCTTTTTTTAATTTGAGCAAAATTTCCAAATATACTAATAATTATTTTATAAACTAAGGTGTAACCAAAAAATAGATTACATGGAATTCAAATAAAAAGTTTTAACATGTAGAGTTAACCAAACTGAATGATACTAAATGAACATTGTATTATGATTGAAAATGTGATTGTAGTTACGAAACAGTATATGATTAAATACCTATCTTATAGTTCGGTATTATGGAAATTAATATAAAATCTGAAGATTTTAGGCTCAATCAGGTTTAAAATAATGAAAGAACAATTTGCTAATGAAGCTGAAATAAAGAAGAAACAGCAGTTCAACACTAACACATTGTCAACGATTCTTTAAATGAAATTATTCATGATACAAAACAACTTTTAACGAACATGTAATTAATTTTAAACGACATTAATGGTCAATGGAACTCATGTGAATAGAGCATAGAATGAAATAAGTTAACGGAAATCTGAAGAAAGTGTTAAGTTATGTAAACAAAAATTGGTTTATGTTACTTTGCAAACATTTTCTTCTTAATGAAAGAACAGTTATATATACACATCCACATTTTTATTTTATTGTTTTCGGGTAAGCGAAACCTGCCTGTTTGGATTTGATTATCATATTAATGTCTTCAAAAGTTAATCCATTTTTTATTGTATATATGTTGATAATGACCTGAATTAATCAGCAAAAGACAAAATGCTAATTAAATATTCGTGTTAGAAAAAACAACCTTATCGGTCCATATCAACTACATTTGTTCCACTTTAGTAAACTCAGTTATCAGTTAAGAAGTAAATAAAGTATAAATCAGCATAGTGCAATCCTACATAGTAACAATATCGGTCAGTTAATTTTAAACAATGTGTTATGAAAACTGAAGTTATAAGGTAGTCAATACACTGTTTGGTTTATCTTCCATGGAAAAGACCAGATATCTATAACAGTAATAGTAATATATTCCTGAAAATAATAATTACAGAATTCATGCCAATGTACAGGCATGGTAAACTTGATATAGAAATAATTGTTCAATGTAGAAGATTGATACATCATGTTACATTGCTTGAAGTGTTCTACTTAGAAATTTGTTTAGGCAGTACATTTTTCACATATACAATAATCTCATTGTATGCGAAACATAGCTTATCAAGTATTTTGAAGAAAGAAATTAGGTCAAGTTTAAGCATCCTCTTCTCCCATAAAGGGTCTAGTGCAAGTTTGTTACATGTGGATTTATAATCGAGAGTACAATTAGTTCCAAGAATGCATAGTGTGAATTGTCTCTGAACAGAGTTCAGCTTTAATTTTTTCTTTATACCAAACTGGTAAGAATAAACGTTCAGTACTTTAAAAATGGTCGAACAGATAATTTGTACATAAATGTGCGACTCAGTGTTATCGGGATCCGAATAGTGCAAATCAGAATTTATATTAGCCGAAGTATTAAGTGCTCTGTAGATAGATCCTAGGTGTAGATCATGATTCGGAGTGTTGACTGCTATCCATACCGATTCGGGCAAACTACTCAAGACACTGTCTTCAACTTTGTTGGTTGTTAGGAAACTCGGAGCATATATAAGACATCCACCTCCACGTTTTTTAACTCAAATACGGCGGCAGAGCTGGTAGTTCAGAATATTTGACTCTGAGGGAGAGTACCATATTTCAGAGACAAATATGGAGAAAGGTTTGGCTAGTAAACTTAGGTTCTTAAGGCCGAGATTTTATTTGGAAGTAAATGTACATTGATAAGTTTTCTGCTTAAAAAGGAAGTGTGGGGTATCCTTATCTACGTTATGCATTTTAGTTGTAACTAGACTATGGTTTGGGTGTCTAATCCTATGGGCTATGGCTTGAACAAGCCGTAGGGCAAGTTGGATTAGGGGGCATTCATGGACCGAAAGCATCATTACTAGATTAGGTTAACCTTTTTGCTCAAATTGATTCAGCATACAGTAAAGTTAACTGTTTACTGGGATTCAGTGTATGGTGTGTAATCTAGTAGTTCATCATCTCCTTTGGGAAAGTACACTGCCATCTTCTTGGCAAATTCACATTTTGTTTATATGCCATATATCCCAACTTTTAAAATTATTCTCCTCACTTTTATTCTTCAATATCAACCAATTCAGTATTTGTGGAAAAACATATCGTTTGCAAAAAGAAATCGTGATACCATAATAAAAAAATAATTTATCTCACATGGCGATAATAATTAAAATAACAATAAGAAAAAAAAATCAATAACAAGAACTTTAAAATAGTTCTTATCTAATTTTTAAGACAAAAATTAATTTATATAAAACGTAAAAAAAAATTTGAAAAACAATTCAAAAGCTACTTACAAATTTTTTCGGTGACAAATTTTGATGAATATTTTCTGAATCACTAAGATGTGAACTTGGAGAAGTTAGCACGCTTAATTGTTGACTAGTGTCGATACTAAGTGTTGGAATATCTGAATCAATTACAATGGATAAGTGTAGAATATAAGGTTCTTAAAACATAGAACAATATGAAAGCTTAAATAAAAAATAAATGGAAAAATATTATAGCTCAATGTTAAATGGTAGAATGGGATCGGGTAGAGAGGCTTGTACATAAATATTGTCAGCAAAGTATATCTGTAACTAATATGGAACACATTCTTTCACACCATTTAATATCACATAAAGTGTAGGCAATGTAGACTAATGTAGCCTAGTCATTACAATGAAACTTGATCAATAAAATTTGGTCAGCGTTAATACCTAAGCAAAAATAACGTTGGTAACTAGTAGGTAATCAAACATCATAAAGTTGTTAGCAGGGATGAATAGTTGCTAGCAGCGGAATCCAGGACGTGCGTTTTGTCCTGCTAAGGACTCGTCAGCTAGATGTACGTGCATCTGAGAGTTGGTGTTCACTGATGTTTTGAAATATATTAATCAGCTGAAACATAGAGCTAGGTACCGACATACACTAGTTCAAGTTGTCATACCACATTAGCACAGAAATATGGAATCTTTAGTTCAAACCCCATAGTAGTAGAGGTGGTAGCAGTATTCAAATCTCAGAGCTCTGAGATGCAGGCACACCCAGTGGACGAGTCCCGAATAGGACGGAACGTGCGTCCTGGATTCCACCGCTGGCAACTATCCACTCCTGCTAATAATGCTTGTAACCTAAAGGCAGTATCAAGATAATCCGCACAGGATGTACATTTACCAACGAGACTCACCAATCGCAGTCCTAAATATCAATGGGAATATTCAAATAACCAATACACATGAAGCACGAAGTTGTACTTAGCATATGACTAATTTCACTATGAATAAGCAGATTCCACGTCTAAATACGTAGTGCAGATTTTACAAATAAAGAGATGAGTTGACAACAAGATTAAACAGTGTAGAATGTCTTAGAGGGTTTAACAGTTTAATTTTCCACACTTTGTTTCTGTATAAAAAATAGTTAGAAATCAATGAAGAAGGAATATTTATGAAAGCAGGGAGAAATAAATGAATACATTAAAAGCTACAGATAGATTAGCATCATACTATGAGTGACATCTAAATCGCTGTAATTAATTTACAGCCAAATCATTCAGGGTCAACGACAATCGCTTTCTAACATTCTAATGACCAAAACTAAGCAACATGTACTTAAGTAGGGTATTATTCCCTATTTCAGATCTTCCTGGTTCGCTCAACTAAAGACTAAGCCACCATAACTGCAGCAGATTTATAACTACATCTGGAACTCTACTTCTGAATAGATTTAGGAGTTAGAAAAGCTGATACACTTGATCATGTTTAACGTTGGGCCACAAGGCTTGTGACAGGCTCTTTCGGTCTCTGCTAAGACCAGCTATTAAAACGTTTAGATCTATTCTTAATATTTAGCTGGGACGCTACGTGATCTCAATATTCCATAACTTCAGTAATGATATCTCCGTCTACAAGTTTTATGCTTTTATTTCCCTCAAGACCATAAGAAAAATTGATTTAAAAACCATCATCAAAGGAACTCAGGGTAGAATCCTGATTTGCTCAATGAGTGGTGAATTACTAACCTGTACAACAAACAAACATGAAAATGAATATGATCTATTCCATGAAAGTGTCTAGTTATTTTGGATTACAAAAACATCCCGACAGTTTTATTGGAACCTGTTTCTTATGTACTTACTCTGAATAGCTTCTGAACATAAACGAGGTCCAGCAGAGTTTACGGATAACTGATCGATAGACACTGGTGATGACAATTTTTGTGTAGTAGTAGTAGTAGCGACAGTATTTGGGTTGAATTTCGGTAAATAAGAAAATCGACGCCGAAAATTGATTTGAGCTAAAATACTAATATTCATTTGAAGAAAAAAAAGAATGAATTGTGAAAAAATTAATAATGAGAAAATCACACAGAAAATGGAAGAGAAATTCCAAACAAAAATTCTGATTTAATTGTATAGGTAAATTGATTTCATTCAAATCTGCTTAAATATGAAAATATGTTAGTCACAATTGATTAGCTGATATGTCTCGAAATTGAATTCAATAGCGATTTGACTTGATATCGATAAACACTATTCACATTAGCATAGCATGTGAGAAAACTGTTAAAGCCAAAATGAAAGAAATGAATAGAATTAACAAAGTTGAAGTGGAGAAATAAACGGAGGGATTATGGCTCTAAAATAATAGATAATGAGATTGAAGAATGGGAAGTCTATAAAAATGATAAAACTTAGAACTTATGAGAAGCGATAAATGCAATTATTTCAGTGACATTGATTTTGATCTGTCAGTTAACACCTTCAACAATTTTTAATGATTCATGACGAAAGATTCTAACTAGGGAGTTTGCATCTCCTATGTAATTCAGATCATCCTTAACATTTTTCTAACCTACTCTTATGCTTGGCACAGCTTTGAAATAATATAGAGATGGTGAGTATCGTAATTATCTTTTGATTCTGGGATAGATATTTTATTTATGTTGATAGTGGCTTAAGTAGGGTAAAACGAGACCAGATTTTCTTGTTTGAGCTGAGATTTTTTCAAACAAAAAGTCAACTAAGTAAAGTCGATGAAATGCCAAAATGTTCGATTAATTCACTCTCTATGGTTAATAAAAGACTGATTCAATCAGTTCAGAAGTTCGTATAGATATGAATGTGATTGTCACTTCTCAGTTGCCAACGCTGTGGAAGAGCACTTCCTGGAGAATAGGAACAAGAAACTAGGTTAGTGGTGGAATCCACTGTTTGAAAGCGTCAGTGTAGTACCCAAGGAATAGTTAGTTAAGACTGACTATGTGTAGTGCTTTTTTGAGCAGTTTTCGATGTGTTAGATATGCTAATAAGCGATGAGAACTTGTTGGCCAAAGAGAGTTGTACCATTTCTATAACTAATATTTTTTAACCCATCCTTTTATTATGCAAAAGCATCATTGTTGCTGTTTGAAGAAAAAATTTTACTATTGATACACCCTAGTGCTATCAAAAATAAAAATTCATTTTCAAACTATAGTTTTGTTACTTTTAGTCTAACCGCTCTCCAGCCAATCTGCTTGATATGGTAAGATCTAAAGAAACGAGTTCATATTATTTATCGGTTGAATACCAAGCATGACATAGTAATTTGGTGAATTTCAGTTGAACGATATTCTATATATTTGCAACTGATGTTATTGTTTTCAATCCTAGTCATTTCATTTTGTTACAATTTCATAACTAACTCTAGACTAAACAAATCATACGGTTATGCAGTCGCTGCATGTATAAGCGTACATTTTATCAGTTTACTTGTTTTTCTAAGGGAGGTTCTGTCGGCCACACAAAGGCTTGTATTTTAAAAAGTTTATCTGAGGAATAAATCTGTATCAATGCGCGCCTTTCAGTAGCTCAACCTTTCAACTCTAGTTATATACCGCATCAATTTATTTCATTTAAAAATTCAAAGTCAGGAATTTTTAATAGCCTAGGGTTTCATAATTGATCATTTCAAGCGTAATCTTCGCATTAAAAAGAGTTGTTAACAATTATTTGTTTTAAAAGTTGTCATTATTAACTATTTACTACTTATCCTTCTTTATCTTGGTCAAGTAGGCAACTATATTTGGTATTTCTCCCATAAGTTATTTCCCGATGATATTTGAAATTATTACGTAACCTATAAACAATACATAGAAATTTCTAATTACATTTTGGTAACTTCGCTGAATTACTAAATGTTGATTTATTGAAAACTGGTATGTGTAAGAAACTAGGAATCAATACCCGTTGTACATCCTTATTCAATGAGATCGTTAGAAAGAACATTTTTATTTGCTGGACTGTTTCTACACATATACACATAAATACTAGAAACGATATGATCAAAGCTTACTTCTCTGTGGTTTCATCGAATTTCCTTTTAAAACATCGATTAGCTGCATCAGCTGAGAATGGAGTACGTAGTGTACTTTTCGTAAGCGATCTACCGGATTGTTCAATATCTTTGTTTATGATATCGGAATTGAATAAATCATTTTGCAATTTTAATGGTGGAGGTCTTGGTTTAGAAGTAACAGTTTGTTGATCATGAAGATTCTCGTTATCAGAAGGTTCAGATTCATTTACACAATTTTCTTCTTTAAGTGAAACAAGTTGATGGCATGCATTGTTTATCGGTTGCTTCAAATGCGAAAAAGGATATTTTACCATGATTATAAAGAATATTTTGTTAAAATAAAATAACGATATCTTCGAAATGGAGTAACAGAATGAAATCTATGTATATATACATATGAAGTATCAACTAGAGATATTACGAAAAAGCTGATTAGTCAATTACTAATCTAAGTGTTTTATGTGAAAATGCAGTAATGTCGATTAAACCAGTGGAAATAATCAGGAATAATCATTCCACATTAGACCTCGATTAAACTGACCTCTCAAATTTGAATGATGCTATCCTGTTCAGTTTTTAGTTTTAGCATAACCTCAAAGTCAATTAGGGTTGTTAAATAAACAAATATCTTGAAGATATTGCTGCTCACTACAAACCAGTGACTGTGGTTACATCAGTTAGTCATCAGTGCAATTTTTATTGCTGTTATATTTATCCTCTGAAACAGGTGTAACATCAGTTGCCTCAACATCAATTGTAACTGCATAAAAAGAGATTAACTTTTCATAAATTATTGTATTTAATATTCTTTGAAATTTGAAGAAAATACATCATTTTTTCTATTCAATAATTTAGTCATCACTTTCTTATCAAAATGACAAAAACTATCAACGTTCATAGTGAAAATAAATCGACTTGAAGTGTTTTACTTTTCATGTTATTCTCCAGGGTTAGGTTGGTTAATTAACTGTAAATCCTAACAGTTGTTACAGTAAATTAACATCGTAGAATAACCAGAGATTAATATTGATCAAACTTACTATTGTCAAATTCTCTTGGTTAGTTAGGTGAGTATTAGCATTGTTTTCTGAAGAAATTTCGTTGATTAGATTGGTTTGAATACATTTTGAAGACGTACAAATGTTTTCTACAGATTGTTGACTCATTTCAGGTAAAGAGGAGTTGTTCAATTCTAAAATAAGGATAAAAAGTGATTGAGAATTTAGTAAGGCACCAATCATAAATTAATTACATGTTATAATTCAAGTTAGGGGTATATTAAAATTAAAAGTAGACTTTAAAACTCTCATTTTATAGTTTTAATCTGCTTAATTATATACAAAAAGTAAAGCTACACGTTACTTAGCATGAAAACCTCGTCAAATTTAGATATTCCAAATTTTATCATCACACCCTCTTTTGATTATTATTTCCATTTGTGTTCCTTCATACTGACTTCTTTTTTGTGGTGATCGTTTAAATTAATGTAGTTAGTCAGGATGCACTGTACGTACTATTTTTTTTTTGATGAAGCAAGTAATAATCGTCACTGAATACAAATTAGATATATTTCTGATTTATAAAAATGTAGAAACTTATGACAGCTGTATACTACTTGATATTAATATTGTATCTAGACACAAAGTTATAAATACAACTAAATTATCAATAATTCATAAAGAATAATTAAAATGCACACATAAACAAGATATACCTGTAAATGAGTTACCATTGGATGGTAAAGATGATGGTGACGACAATAACATCGGTTCAATATTAGTTGATAATGGACGTAGGTGAGGATTTTCTGCTACTTCAACTGGTAATGTAACTGTTGAATGAAATAGGTCTATAGTTGAATCAGATTTGATGCTATCATTCAGTGAATGATTTTGTAGACAATCATCAGAGTTTTCGAAACTAATGAAAGCAAGAATATAGAAAAAAGAGAATAGCACGACGAAAATTGAACCACTTTCATCCTTTAGATGAATTTTTTTCATCAATATTTAACAAAAAAATTCAATACAACATATTCTTGATAATAATTGCCATGAATGATAAAATATATTTCTATAGTAAATAACAACTAAACAGGTAATGCGGATATAAAGTAAGCATAAAAATGGAGGCTCTGTGGCAGTGTTTGTCATAGAAAGATGTACCATAGAGGTATATTAACCTTGTAAAAGCTCTCTACTCGAACACTACAGGTCAAGTGAGAGATTATGGTCAATCGTCATCAGAATTGATTAGTTCGAATGGTGTCCGTCAGGGATGTCCACTTTCTCCGTCCTTGTTTAAGTTTGTCATAGACATGCTTTTAGAGATAACATTATCTTCGTCTGAATTTTCAGGGGTGGACGTTTTACCAGGAAACTCGCTTGTTGACTTAGAATATGCAGATAACATAGTTCTATTTGGTGAAGACGTTGACAGAATGCAGAGTCTTCTGATCACCCTAAGCAACAATGCAAGCATGTTCGGGATGCGGTACTCACCCTCGAAATGCAAAATTTTGCTTTAGAATTGGATTATATCGGCACCTGAACTAGTGATAGGGAGTGAACTAGTCGAGCGTGTTGACCACTTTACTTATTTGGGGAGTCTCATCAGTGCTGATGGCCTGGTTTGTGACGAAATCTCAGCACGGATACAGAAAGCTCGATTGACATTTGCCAACATGCATCACTTATGGCGTAGGCGAGATATCCATCTGCTAAGCAAAAATACAAGTGTAATGCGCAGCAGCTCGCTCTGTCCTACATTATGGCTGTGAAACATGGCCAGTAAGAGTATAAGAATTCGTAGGTTGTTTGTTATCGATCATAGGTGTCTCCGAAGCGTTTCTCGTGTATCATGGGACAACCGAGTAAGCAATGCTATCGTTAGGAAACGAGTACTAGGTAAGGACGGCAGGTCAATAGATGAAGTATTGAAACGTCATCGGTTGAGGTCGTTGGGATATGTGTTACGTAAGGCTAACCGCCGACTGCCGCGACGAGCTATGTTTTGTGATGTTGGAGTAGATTAGGAGAAAGCTAGGGGCGAAGAAACCGAAACATGGAACGAATCCATGAAGTTACTGACAAGTGGACTGAGTCATGTTGGCAGATGTAGGCTACTTGGTTGGGGTCCGCGATACAAAAGTCATCGATAGTTAGAGACCATGAATGACATGGTTCAAAACCGTTTGCAATGATGCGCGTGCATTCATTCTTTGTGTTCTCACAAGTCCTAACCTTCTAAAATCCTCATCAGTTTTATCCTTATCTTTTCAAGTTTATTTCACTAGATTCTACCTCCTGAACAATATCTTCTAATCCTAATCTCCCCGATTACTGCTGATACTTCTACTTCCTCTACTACTATGAGATTTGAATTGACAATTGCGTCTCTGTGATAATGTAGTATGGCAACCTGAACTGGTGTACGTACATACGAAGTCCTACGTTATGACTGACTGACTGATAAAAAATGCAATCAATAATTTGAGGAACTTTTATTTATCACTCAATATTAGCTTAGTTATATGGGAATTAATGATCTATTCCTTAGACTAATATATGTATATTATTAATCAATTTTAACAAATCTTCTTGTTCTATTAATTTATTTCAAAATGCTTATTTGCTGTTTGTATGAGATTGGTGAAATACTGTGAATTCATCGTATTCTACCAAATATGATTCTCAAGATTTATTGTAAAATTTGTAAAGAAAACAAATAGTATGAAACTGCAGTAGTGTAGTAGTACAGGACAAATTACATACACTAAGTTTGAGTATCCGGCCTAATACACAAACATTCAATGTTCAGATTCAGTGAGTATCTCAGAAAGAGATAACTCCACCTGGAGATTACGGAAGATAAATGAAACAAGTAAGATAAATTAGTAAAATGTCTATTATTGACATACAAATTTATCATTGGCTTGTTTGTTTTGCCACTAAAAATAAATTTTTAAATACCATAACTTGAAGTTCTCAATCATTATTGATAGTGATTATATTGTGAACCTAAAGTAGAGTCTCCACTTCTTGAAAATGTTAGTGAGACAATCAACATTTTAAAGCATTAAAATTATGGTAGCATTCACTATTGACAAATTATAATCAATCAATGAAGAAAAGGGAAATTTTCACATAAATCACATGATGTTTATCAATTGTTGATAGGAAGAGAAGCAAACGAATACATGAATAGACAAAGACAAAGTAAACAATCAAACGTAAACAAAGAGAGAGAGAAAGAGAAAGAGAAAGTAATAAACTGAAAAGTTATCATTGTTGAATTTCAGTTAGAGACAGACAATAAAAGTATTATTAGTTTTAGACAAGAAAACAATAAAAGTAGTTAGTTGCTGTAATAATAAACATACAAATCAGTAGGTGATAAGAGTTATGAATTAAAAATAACAAAATAATTGAATAATTGGTTGTCAATAAGTCGTTAAAAATAAGCAAAGAAAACAAACAATATTCACGACAATATTCTTTAAGGAAATTATATATCTCTATACGATGATTTGTTTATATATTCACTTCGTTGTTGATTTCTTATTATTAGAGTTGATTAACAAAGAAATTTTTTAAAATTCTGATAAAAATGAAGTAGATTGTTTAAAAATGATACTTTATTTATAGTTAAGATCACTAAAAATTTACAAGTGAACTACTAATTGAATAAAAATAGCATTATTTAATCTGAGAATATCACCGAAACTATTTGTTTATTACTGAAATCACAAATCAATCAGTGTTATATCACCTTTAGAAAGCTGGAAGCACTGGGCGGTATTTTCATCATTTTATGGGACTTATGGGTAGTGCGCATTCACGACTCCTGCTGCTCGCAAGATTCGAATCCAGGACCTTCGGTCTTGCGCGCGAACGCCTAAATTTTGGACAACTGGGTTGGCATCCAATAGTGTTAATGTCTAATACTAATCAATCTAGGGATTTTTTGCAACCTCACCTATTGTCTCCGGTACGTACTGCCTAAAATCGACAGGACTGAGCGCTATTGGTCACATTTTCTCACTTGAACTCCGAAAATTCCTTAACGAAGCTAGTCACTAATTAGCACACAGTAGGATGAAGATTGTTGTTTATCACTGAAACCATTACTTTCAGGTTTCTAATGGTGGTCTAATGGTGATTGATTAGTGATTTCAGTAATAAACACCAATCTCCTTAACTCCTATAATGAAAAAAAAATTATTAGTGTTGTTAAAGAGAATAATTTATTGTACAATCAAACTTTCCAATTTGTAAACGATGTTTAATAGTATATTGTTATTAGATTTTATTCATAAAAATTAAAAAAATTATTATTTAGCTGCAAAATAATTTTAAAACTATTATGCACATATAAAATATAAAACTGTCAATTAAAAAACCAATCAAGTTCATCTTAACAGTAAAAACGATGATATTATTATGTTGAATTGTCCTTAATTCTAAGTGTTAGGGCATTATTATTTCACGATTGTAACTATTTACTGTAGGTGGGTAATTTACATTGGTTTTCAGATGGACCAAGTACCATTCAGGCTTTCAAATGGAGTCAGTAGCATAGCTCAGTCCGTCGAAGTAACAATACTGGTGATAAAACTCTTGGTTGACTACAAGAATTCACAAATCAAAGAATGGTATTGAATTTCTTTTTAGTTTACAGAACATTAGTAAATCATATATAAATTGTGTTTAGTATTTAAACAATTAATATTATTCAACATTTTCTATACTGGTAGCTTACCTTGATGAGTTTTGAATTACAACTTGACTATTTGAATTACACTTGGATGTATTTACATGACATTGTAATAAATGATTTTTCATTGAATTATTCAATGAGACTGATGTTGGATTATGATGAGTTATTGTTGTATCTGTAGAGGGACAAACAAATTTGATAAGAAAAGATAAATTGTATTGATTCTAGATTTTTAAAAAAGATTCAAATAATATTGATATCAAATAGTCACTTGATTCATTTTCAATAGAGAAGAAAATAAAACTCAACTAAAAGCTGTAAGTACGAACACAAAACATTATACGAATATGAATTAATGAAATTATCTCTTCATGGTTTACTATATGAGATTTAGTTTGTTTAAACTGAACGAGTTTTTCTTTTCGGACAAAAGTGAATGATTATTATTATTAATTGTGAGCAACAGATATTTCATTATTATATAGGAATTTAATGAATTGAGATTTGGGTAGATTGTTAGCAATGAAAATAACATATTTTTATTATTCCAATGAGTAGAAAAGTTAACGATTTTCTGATATTCCATGACTCGGTGTACGCCAATTCTTCAGAGAATAAATCAATGAATTAAATTAACTCATAGTTAACTTTTCTACTCATTAGGATACCATAAATATATTCCTTTTATTATTTCAGTAATATATTTAATTGACTATAAGAGAAAACCAATTTTTGAAATATATATAACAAAATTTTTACCAATACCAAACGATTTATTTATTGATTAAATGTAGTGAAAGTAAGTTATGAGCTTTTAACATACTCACGATTGATATGTTGCTTTGTTATGCATCCCAATAATACACATAATTGAGATAGAATTCAAATTATCTTATGATAACAGATATTCTATTTAGATTATTGAATTATCAAAAAGTAATTAATAGTCATTTGTACGCTAACTCCTTATTTTTGATTCTTTATTCCAGCTGCCTGGTGTTTTTTTTTAATGACAGCTCCAAAGTGAATTGGATTGTTTGCCTTTTTTTAATTTTTAATATTCTAATGTAATTATAATATCAATCATAATGACTTTCTTTGTTTTCTTTGTTTACCAATACACTGAAGATTTTGTTTATGGTTTCATAAACAAAGATTTAAGTTACTTTCTATTTTTTTTCCAAGTTTATATCCCAATTGAGATAATTGAAAAATACCTCAAAATCCGCTGATCCCTTTTTTTATTCCTGAAGCTGTATTTATTGATGGACAGAAAAGTTTATAAATCAGTAACAGGATGTATTTAAATAATTTCTAGTTTCTACAGGTTCATTGAGTCGGGATGTGTATGACAGATCATTCGCTGGAATCTAGTTGATAGCTCTTGTTTGGTTTTTAAACTAAACATTATTTATACAATCGGTAGACCACAGGTAGTAGCTGTCAAAGTTATAGGTATCTGAAGTGTAAAAAGTGTGGAGTTGTTCCAATAAATAGGTAAGATCAAGTGAATAACTATTCTTCGGTCATGTATGAGAATTTCCTGGACACAGAATATATGAAGCCATAGGACTCCATAGTTTTTACTAATAACGCGTTGGGGATGTCAGATCCCCAAAACTCGCTTGATAAATGCCTTATTTTGGATTCCACGTTTGCGAGCATGGGCTGATCAGTTGACCTTGAGATTTCATTCCCCACCAGTAACATCCTTGGCTGTGATTGGCTGCTGTGTATTTTAGTGTGCTATTTTCGCAACTGTCCCAAGGACGTTTCTATGATGTATAAATAAACGAGAGTTGTATGCTTGATTGTATTGAGATTGCTGGGTGTTGTAGAATATAATTTCTACGTTTACCAAGTCTTCTGTTTGTAGTTTGCAAGGTAGCCTATATGGATGCTGGTAATTGTCTCGTTCGCGTTTATCGACTAAGGTGAACCCGTATTAGCTTCAAGCGTACCAAGTGACGAACATAACATAACGCCTATTGATTACTCAATAAAAGGGTATAAATGTTGTTAGCTTTAGTAAATAGTTTAAAACTTCCAAGAGGTTCCATAAGAACGAACTATTACCACGAGCTGCACAATCAAGAGAAATTAAAGTCGAAACGAAAGAGTTGATTATCAGAAAACAAAATAACATTAGAAAGTGATGAAGAGAACTTGTGGTGAGCACGATATATTTGAACACTCCTAGAAGTATGTAAATGATTTAAACTTTTAGATTATATTGTTTGAGATAAAATGAAGTTTTTGATTACTGGCAGTGATGATCGTGTTATTCTCTCGATATAGTCGAAGTCTGAAGACAATCAATGAAGACTGGTTTTAAATACGTTTTTCGGTGAATACTTGGTATGAATTTCGCGTTATCAGTTCTACAAGTCTCCATAACTTTACAATGGAATAGAAATTCTAAACTTTAAATTCTTATATTGGAAACTGGTATCTAGTATTACATGAATTAGTACTTATCCTTATGGAAAATATTAATATTGTTATTAATAAATTGTTTTATCTATGATAACTTCTAATAAGTGTCTTTTCATTGCTTCCAGTGCTGATCAGCTATTGGATTTTAAAATAGTGCAGACAAAAACTATAATATTGTGTAAAGCTTCGTTAAGATTTAGGTACAGAAAGGGGATTAAATTTTGTCACTGTTTCCGCGTAATCTAACTGTGGATCTGGGGCTACTGGTCTTTATTGAGAAGTCATACTAAATAAAATTAGGCCACTGTATTTTGTAATTAAAGTTTTTGAGGAAAATTGTACTAATTTCTTTTATTTTTTGAAGGAAAAGATGTGTTTATTACAAACTACTAAACACAATAAAATATGTTATCGAATATTCTAAAGTGAAACGGTTGCCGCAGGTACAGCAAATGTTTGAATAAAAGAAGAAACACATTTTCCAAAGGCTTTAATGCATTATATATATATATATATATATATATATATATATATATATATATATATGATGTTTGAAAATAGCAAACTCATATTAGTTAACTAAAATAACTTAAATATTAGTGCATAGAACATTTATTGCTTATTGCAATGAGACAAGTCAGTGACTATTGGAACATGAGAAGTCAATCAAATATAAATGAATTAATACTTACCTTTAGAATTGTGCTCTGTTAATTTTTCATCGGAGTTATTTACAGTTTCAAAATGATCGCCACAGGATATGGTTGATTTGTCACTGCCAATGTGAATGTTTCCGGGATCCGCATCAAGATTCACATTACCAAGGAGTGGGAATTGTACTATTTCATCATTGAACAGTTTATTTTCTTTATCCAAATATTTTACAGCATGTATTAGTAAGTCTAAACCATTTAGTTTATATTCATTATTCACAATGATAGAGGATTTTACTTCAATGGAATTCTGATTATCATCACGATTAGGTTGATTGATGTTTTCAATTTTTAAATTAGATTGTGACAAAACTATAAATCAAGTGAGGGAAAAAAAATTTGATTATTTTCATTTTAGAAAATGTTATCGAACAAATGAGAAAAACTTTAATTAGGTAAATAATGTAAAATGAATAGAATAGTACTTGTATGAAGCTATTTCGTTTCAACAGTGACATTTATTCCAAAAACAATACTGTGTTTTCTGTTTGTGACAGAAATGATTTCTATCTCAGAAAAAAACGGTTAATCATGTCGAATATGCAGGTATTCATATCATAAATTTTAAGAGACAGAGAGAGAGAAAAAAAGGAATACAGAATTGAGATTTTGTTTTGTAAAAAAATTTGTCTCCAGGATATATACACTTACAAAATTTATATAAATAATAAATGTCAATGAAATAGATAATATAAGACGTTTTATTATTTATTATCATATTTTTTTCTATGGAAAATGTTTACTAACATAACTTATTTAGGTAGGCAAATTTTGGATTAATATCCATGTATGTAGGTAGATGTATGATTATTTGAATAAAATTATTTTAAACAAGTCTTGATTATGTATATATATATGCGTGTGTGCGTATTACGCAATTCGTAAGGATTGTTATTTTATGAAAATTTGTACTGTCAGATTTATATATATATATATATATATATATATTTAAAAAAAAAATTAAATTTCATGAAATACAATTTTATGTTCATGTGAATTTTCACAATACTAATACAGTGTACTTCTACAGCATACATATTGGTATAAAAAAACAGTCATGTTAAATGTCAGGTGATAATAAGTTCATAATAATAAAAGTTAAAGATACTTTTTTGAAATTCATACTTTTTCAAAACAATAACAGATTGATAATATAACAGACAATATTTGCCAAGTGTAAGCATTATCAAAAATCACTATATATCGGCTTAACATAACATAGAGTATCAGTGTTGTTTTCGAAATTGCATATATACTTTGTTAATGATGAGGCTGAAATTTATTTTCAGGACTTCCTATTGAGATCACCTCCAATTTAGTCAAGATTACAGATTAGACATGACTAAATGGTATCATGTGAACTTAATGATAGATTATTTAATGCCTAAAATCTATTTAAAGGAACTCAATCCACTTACCTGTAGTTGATTCATTATTTGAAGATAATTCATTTAAAACAGAATTTGTTGAAACATTGTCAGATTCATTGATTTGATTATTAGTAAATGAATGTGTATTTAATTTATTTTCAACTGGTAAAGATTTATTCACCCATAGATTATCAGAAGTAGTCACTGATGTAGGCGCGCCTGAGTGAGGATGATTGAGAGTTCGATATTGTTTTTTAGTATTTGTATTTACGGAACTACGCCTTTGTTTAGATGACCATTTCCAATTCGGGAATGATTGAAAATGTGCAGCTTTTAGCTAAATATGAGAGGACAATAAAAAAAAAGTGATGTTAGAAAAGACAACATTTGATAAATTATTTATAATTATTGTATTAACACTTCTTTTATTTTAAAAACTATACACTGATCTACTAAACTTTAAATTAAACTTCATTATTCAATCAATCTATTTCTGGTTTGTTTAATAATATTAATGGCTTAATTACAAAGGTTGTAATATTATATGGTTAAACATCCCAGTCTTAATATGAAATAAAGACAGTAGATTTTATTCAAAACGCTTGTCGCAATACATCAGAGATAGGAAGTGATAGTCAAAATATTACGTAATTTTGTGTAGATGTGAACAGCTATAACTAACCAGTCTCTTCTAGCATCTGTTAAGTCTTAATAGCTCGGTTGAATTTACCTATTTAGTTACACTGAATTTAAGTTTCAACGTAAACACCAATAGTGAGATCTTGGAGAATCTTGTTGAAGAGTTTCGAATAGAACGAAACACCAATCCCTATCTCTACTGCTAGTCGAAATTCAAACACATTGTTTTATGAAAAGTTATAAATTTCAGTTTATTAAAAATAACATCGCTTATATTATATCTTGGCACACTTAATTTAATAATAAAGACTTCTTTCAGAGCTTTAAATATAATTTGAAAATTTCGTGTCAAACAGAAAACTGAGACTTTTTTAATGAACTTTAGTGGGAAATTTCAGTGCTAGAAGGAAAGAAATTTTTTATTTCGGAAACGTTCTTTGAATATTCGGGTCACAAACTACTTTCATGAAATAAGTAATAACATTTGGTATACAAGCAGTCAAATCAGTTGGATAATATGCTTACAACTTTGATTAATTAAATCTCTTCAGAATAAAATATTTCCTAAAACAATACACACGTCTCATTTAATTTAAAATGGTTGGAATTATCCGGTTATTGATATTTTTGACTAAAATTTGATCAGTCCTGGTAGGCATATACGTATCCTATGCGGATTGCCTCAATATACCCATTACGATACAAGCTTGTGCGTGCTTCATTCGGCTGATGGCCCCAACCCGTCTTGACTATGAAATATAAGTGTCTTTTCATTTTTATGGTCAGACATGGTTGTCGTCCTTGGTATCTCAAGTAGGTAGATAGAATTCATTGTATTGATAGTCTGAAAACTAATCACTTCAATCGTTTACCTATTCATTTTCTTCACTCTAACAGTCTTATCGGATTTTCAGTACAATTTATTCCAGGGGATTGAGTGTACAGAAGAAATATATGGTATTCCACATATGAGGTACGCATGCTTTCAAAGTCTAAAATTTACGTCAAATGGAAGAAATGTTTTTGAATTAGCCAGATACTCTGATCTTTCTATATTTTAGAACATCGATATGGAACAAAAATATTGATATTTAATAAAGACTATATAAAATGTATGATAAATTTAAAAGATTTATTCTATCTGTGTCTATTGATGTGTTTTTCTCAGGCAACTAAAAAATAACAGACATAATTGATAATTCACAGAACTATTACATTATTCTACTGCAATAATATTAGTAAAACTTAAAATTAAAACTAATACTTTTAGATATCTATTCTGTTAGGATAAAACTAAATTATGAAAGATTATTACTATAAAAAAAAAGACTACTTGTCATATAATGTGCTTACTTCACGAGCTAATTGTTGATAAGGTGCTTTTTCTGATGCATCTAAATGATACCACCAATCGCCTAAAATTTGACTTGCTACACGATTATCTTTATTTGGATAAAGACGATGTACTTCACTACGATGTCGCATAGAAAATATAATAAAAGCATTCATTGGACGACGTACATGTCTTCTTTCTTTGTTATTTTCATTTGTTATTGACATTGTAGGTAACTGTATTTTTTTATTGATTGAACATTCATTAAATATTTCAATATTATCAAGTTTAGAATTGTTTAAATCAATTCCGGAAGTAGTAACACTTATTCGATTATCATTGTCATCATGATCACGGTCATTGTCGACACTGTCATTACAATTTTCAGTGGGCTTTATTAAAAAATCAGAAAAAATAAGTTTGTTATAAGATGAACAAATACTCGAAAAACTTAATATGCCTATTTCTATCTAACCTAACAGGAGTTAGTATTCCTTTTTTTATTGGAAATCTATTGAATGCTACTTTTTCCTGTTTCTTACAAAAAAAATGATGTTTCAGGAAAAAAAATCAAGTTAATCATGTCAAACAAAGACTACATTCAAGTAGTTGACATGCATGAAAAAGACTGAAGTTTATTGTTAATGTGTATATCAATAAAGCATTGAGACTTATAGTTAATGAGGAGAAATATTTGCTACTCATTATTGAATTCAAAATTCTCTACACACAGTACATTGAATAATGGGCCTTCAATAATATATGGTCTACTGTCACTAATTTGAAAAGAAAGATTCTAAAAAAACATCAATATAGTGTGGCATAGATGAATGACTTCGTATTTTAATAAGTATTTTTTTTCTGTAAGACTTAATAAATCAATAAAAGTAGGAAACTTTTAAACAGACTAGAAGGATAACATGAATAAACTGAACAAATCTACAGAGAAAGAGTAAAGATATTCATTTCATTGTGACTGACTATTATCTAATCCCTCTTGTACTTATAGTTAGTAAGTTCAGATACCTGGGGAGATTTAAAATGGGAATTTTTATTTCTCCTAAATGGCTGAAGGCATTAATCAGAAATTTTACTTGCCAACATAACATCTTAAGGTAAACCTTCAAAAATTCACCCCTATGCCTTTTCCATAGACAATAAAGTATTTCCAGACACTTTGTTTATCTAAAATCTGCAAACACCATCTTGATTCCTTGAGAAACATATGATACTGATACAAATGAAATTGTCAAGTTTTATTCAGTTGACAAATACGTGAGTGTATGCCATAGTTTTGCAGTTTATCAAGAAGAGGACTGATTGCATGAAATATTAGTTATATTTTCTTGCGTAAGATTGGTTTAGTGGAAATGTGTGTAGAATGTAATAGTCAAATATATAAAAAAAATTCCGTGAATGATTAACTACTAACTGACTTGTGTTGGAAGCAGTTCCCTCTAAACAAATTTAATTAATACTAGTCATAAATTCACTAGTAAATTTTAAACCAATCACTGATGAAGACTCATCTTAATGAAAATGAAGCGAAATCATATAAATTACTGATAAAAGATGCAGAATAGTAAATAAATAAAGTCACAATTTTATTTTATAGACCATAAACATTCAATAAAGTTGTGATTTTAATTTATTAACTTTACTGAACAAGAATGAATCAGAAATAGGAGATTTTTTTAAATTAAAAAAAAATTTATCTGATAAAGATTTACATAGAGATTTACATAAAGATGATAACACATAAAATGTTCAAAATAATAAAATAGAATTTTGAAAAATCTAATTTGTTTTTTTTTGTTTTGTTTAAGGTATTCATAGCCAATTGCTTATTATATGATTCACTCTTAATTATATGAATGTTAAAATTGATTTGAATTGTTGTTGTGTTTTTTTTGCCTTGGATGTGAAACGATCGATGTGAGAATGAATAGGATTGAAAAAAAAATTTAGTAAGAAGGCGATTGGTCGAGAAAATTCCGTCAATAAATGATTGGACAAATTTCTAATAGATAATAAAAATTTAAATATGTCCATAGAGAAAGAATTTATTGAATAAATAAATCGAAAAAAAAATGCTAGTCGTTTCAACATTCATTCTATTTTAGCAAATTCAGTATGAGTCATTCATTTAGTAGTGGATGGAATGGAAAAACTTGTATTTTGTTTACTTTGAGAAATAGATATAAGGAAGATTGTTAGAAGATAGAGAGAATCGAAATTATCCAAAAGAAAACCAATATATATATATAAACATAAGTTGATATACACAGTAAATAGTTGATTGTGATAAAATGACAAATGATTCACTGACTATGATTATTAAATCAAGTGTAATTGTTAGTTACTTTATTTATTTATTCAAATCAGTAGAAATCAGTAGAAACTTGTTTTCTTTTAACGTTATATTCACTAAAGGTAGTGATTACCTATAATTTTTATCTGATTGACAAAATTTACAGGGAATTTATTGTTAAACCATTAAGGGATTTATAAAATAAACGAAAAAAAAGGAACTAGTAGGCATAATGAAGACAGTTTAATTAACAATCTGATTACTTACAGTTGAAGACTGTTAAAGTTGAAACCTTCAAGCCTTATGTGTACGGTAAGACAATAAAGAAGTTAGTATCTGATCATGGTATTTCATTTCTTTCTCAATCAAAACAACAATACATAGTGCTTAGTAACTAAAATAAAACGGGAAATCAGTCTGTCAGTTAAATGAATGATTCTACTCTGATTCTTTATGCGGTTTCGGAGGCACGGAATACATCGATGGCAAGAGATTCTTAAGTCCTATCTAGGAAGCTTGTCGTACTATTTGGCACAAGGTCCGAATATTAAAAGCTCCAATATGCAGTTTAGAGCCTGGTTTCAGGAGGCCAGAAACAACGTTTTGTGTATTTGAATTGTTGGCATCAGCGGCGCAAAGTGATAAAGGAATGTGAGGGAAGGTGTTTTTTGGGGAACCTGAAAAGGAAGTTGGATCAGTGTTGATCTTAGAGACCGCAGAGCCCAAGGGACAACTGCTTGAGACCCGTCATGCACGGCGTTTTTATGGGTAGTATTTAAAGTGTTAGCTCCGTTCTTGTATAAAGGCCTCACCACCGGAGACGGAAATCCGTACAGTAAGATGAGGTGTGACATTTTTAGGGTCAACCTTTTCTAACCGCTTCCTTCCTTGTGAGAAGGCAGCATCGCTGCAGATGCTGGTTGTCCGAGGGAAACACCTTACTACTGTCACACCCCTCTACAGTCAGCAGAACGACATCGCCCCCAGACCTTCAGTTGCTCCTTTTAGTCTCACTTTTCTCCAATTGACCTGCCTGGCACGGTAGAACCCACAGGAACATATGTTCCAGCCAGTATAGCTCGGTTGGGTCATCACGATAGGCAAGCCCGACGACCGCGTCAGTATATCAGCCACGTTCAGGAAAACTGGAAATCGGTTTTAATGGAGTCTTTTAGTTTACCTATAGAATAATTTAGGCTGTAATCTGAGGACTTTAACTTCAGAATAAATGAATAACATTGGCTACTGCAGAATAAGTAACCATACTCGTTCAAAGATCTCGATTTTTAAAAACTGAAATTGATCTGGAACATTGTAATCGACGTATGTATGGAATATATTTTAATGTATTGAGTTATTCAGTATGCTGATCAAGTATGTATGCATTATTTTTATAAGGTGGCAAAACTGATAAATGATTCTTTTAATAGCTATGTAATTATTTTCAACAAATTTGTAATGAGGATGATGATTAATGTTTACACAAATATGAGCCCCATGATTTATATTAAATTATCAGAAAAATATCATTAAAAAAATTATCAATGTTTAGTAGTATATGGAATCGAATAGAGGTGGAATAAGTTTTAAATATCACGTGTAACTATTGAAAAACCACCTAATAAAACTCCATGAACTACAGATCGAATGATATCAATGTCCATTTAGTGGAAACAAACTCGAAAACTTTTCCTGACTACAGATCATAATCCACTGTCATAGGTGGATATCTATTTTTTAAAACAATTCTGATCAAAAATTGATTAGTTTATGAGTCTACAATTAGTAAATAGATTATTCAGTTAGCAAAGATCATTTGCCCACATGTTCATAGTGAGTATTATCATTCAACTTCTTGAACAATATCCCTTCTTCTTCTTCTTCTTACTGATTTAATCATTGAAGTGTTTGAAGAATATACAGTGGCTAAATCACGCTACTGATTATCTCATTTATTATTGCAGTGAAATGAAGAAAACACACTCAAACTTATTAGAACATGGAACAAAAGTATCCAGATCAATTAAAAATTTTCGTTAACATTGAGTCCTAAAGTTGACCATACGTTTCAATCAATGAATATTTGGAATAATAAAAATTAAAACAATTATTTTATAAATATATAAGCTCAATAATCTACTTACTTCTGAACCGCATATCTCACTTGATCCTTGGGCGCAAGGTTCCTCAGAATTTAAATTACAATCTAGATAATTAACAGTGGAGGAATTTTGACGATTAGGCGAACTAAAAATCAATCATTTACGTGTTCCATATTTTAGTAAACAGATAAAATAGATGAACCATTTAAAAGTATTGAAACTATAAAACTGATTATCAAAGTAAAGAGAATTTTGCCAAATAGTCTATCATTGTTTAAATAAAAGAGTTACTAACGACAAAGGAACCTGCTGGAACACAAATCAATCCATTTTTTCATACATTACAATTGTATGGGAACATTTCATACAGTAAAGAGCAGAAGAGCAATAATAATAGTGTATGTGACATCTAGTCTTGGTTCTATACTATGACTACTCTAAAACTTTCGACATAGATATCCACCAGCTTCTTATAAACAGATCCACATTTTATTGGATCAGCAATCATTTGCCTTACTGCTTTAACCTCTCCCCAGCCACCGACACCAAATATTCAAGATAAGATCTTCCATATCAGATATCGAGGTGATAAAAGTTAGTGTCTCAAGCCTCTTCCTCTTCTTTTCTTACATAAATAATATTTGAGATTGTTTATGTGCAGTACGCCTTTTCTTTATGCAGATGATCTCAAAGTAGTGTATTCGTTCCGCCTTCATGAGCTGAACAATATACAAACTGTATCAGTATGGAGCTCAATCAGGTGGCCTAGTGGTGCTTAAAATAAGTGTTGGAGCTTGACACTACCGAATGTGAATTGATCTGCCTTCGTAATCCTTTACTCAACCTAGACCTAACCATAAATAGTATGGTGTCATCGAAATCTCATACAGATGATGACTTGGGACTCAAATACTCCTACAATTTGTCCTTCTCACAACAAGTATCTACACACACGTCCAAGTCTAAACGTCTCCTGGTTTGCACTATTCGGATCCCGATAACACTGAATAGTACAAATTACTTGTTCAACCATTTTTATAATACTGAATGTTTATTCTTAGCAGTGGGGTTTAAAGAAAAAATGAAAGCGGAAATCTGTTCAGAGACAATTCACACTATGCATTCTTGAAACTAATTTTACTCTCAATTATAAATCCACATGTAACAAACTTGCACTAGACCCTTTATGGGAGAAGAGGATGCTTAAACTTGACCTAATTTCTTTCTTCAAAATAATTGATAAGCTATGTTTTGCATACAATGAGATTATTATACACTTGAAAAATGTACCGCGTAAACAATTTTCTAAGTAGAACACTTCAAGCAATGTAACATGATATATCAATCTTCTACATTGAATATTTATTTCTATATCAAGTTTACCATACTTGTACATTGGCATGAATTCTGTAATTATTATTTTCAGGAATATATTACTATTACTGTTATAGATATCTGGTCTTTTCCATAGAAGATAAACTAAACAGTATATTGACTACCTTATAACTTGAGTTTTCATGACACATTTGTGTTTAAAATTAACTGACCGATATTGTTACTATGTAGGATTGTACTATGCTGATTTTATACAGCATTTACTTCTTAACCGATAACTGAGTTTACTGAAGTTGAACAAATGTAGTTGATGTGGACCAATAAGGTTGTTGCATCTGATACAGATACTTTATTGGTTATTAGAGAATCAAATAACCTGTTAGTGATTTCTGTAGTCATGCTAATATATACATGTTTGTTTATGTATTACTTGTTCTCTTGATTTGATATCATGTTTGAACTCTTTCATCATCCATGCAGAAAATTTGTATGGAGTCTGAGGGTAGAGTTATTATGTTTCACAGGTTAATGACGGTAAATCGCAAATTCAAATAACTGAATATTTTGAAAATAATTACAGTCTAATTAATTACTCACCTGTTTCGGTGGATTGAACAGACTGCTCAATATTAACCGGATTGCATAGTTGACTTAATAAATGTGTTGAACATTGATTATTGTCTGATTCACAATGACCAGGACTTTTGTGACCTTTATCACAAAACTGATTGTCACTACTTTGATTTTTGTTGAAATTAGTGTTCTGGTTTTCCGTTGTCGTTGGATTATTCCAAGTATCTGGTGAATTATTAAAATGAAATCTTGATACATCTTGTTTTTTTAACGAGTTATCTCCTACAGAAATAGTATCTGTGAGAATAGGTAGTAAAGCAAGAGGAGTAGGAATTGGAGAGATTTGTCCCACGGGATTATTAAACAGTAACGGTGCGAATGCATGGCCTAAAATTGAAACCGGAGTATACCATATAAATTTCAATGAAACTCAAATGAGTAAAAAACATTTGATTGACACTGAAAATATAATATATCAATTATCAGTTCATATAACCAATAAATTCAAGTAGCTAAGTAGTTAACATTCTCAAATGTTTATGATGAGATATGTAAGGTAGGATGGAAAGTTAAACGTGATCAGAAGGGATTAGAGAAAGATGAACAAAATGTAAGTCATCAGTGAAGGATTTACCTATCAATGTATCAAGATATACAGCAGCATAATGACTGAGTGTATCTATCCTAATGTAATAGATTTATGGTTGTCACAAATTCTTTGAAGTAATTGATTCCTAGCAGTCTGACTACCTGAGCCAAATAACTCCGTATGACCCCTGTACATTTATTAATCTTTAATAGTTGCAACGCGTCTTCATCTAGTTACATTTATCTATCGGCTGTTTGAGATTATGTTGGCACAATCAGCCTGTAGAGTTAACAAGTTCTGGAATGAGACAGCACGTCAATAGTTGTACTGAATGCGGAACACATTATATTACCAAAATTAATGAAATAAGAAAGTGCAAATTATTGAACTCCTGTTCAATGATTGTTACCTCTAGCATTTTTCGTAATAATATTTAGTATGAGAAATTTATTATAAATATTCATAGAACATACTCATGGAGAAATTATGATACAGTGACAGAAATAGCAAAAATTCAACTTGCTTGGAATAGGCATCGGAGTAACCTGTGCCCCAACAGTGGCAGGTCCAGTGCTTGAGTCATAGCGATCATTAAAATGAACTGAAGTTAGTGGAAGTGAGAACACTGACTGTTTTGGAATAGCAGTTGTCGTTGTTGTACTTGTCATCAGCAATGTCATTGTTGTAGATGATGATGATATAACCGCTTGTTTTGCACTCGTTTCGGAACCCATTTCAGTTGTTACAGATGATCTACTTGCTGAAAGAAAAGGAGCCAGTTTGTAGGGCGCGAAAATAGAAGGAGTGAGAAGCAGTGATGTTTGTGATGAAGATAACAACCCCGTTGTCGTGAATGACTTCATTTTATTACGATTTGATTCATGCTCTCTAGGGTTATTCGACGTACCATGTTGAGATGCGGAGGAAGAATTAAGAGCTGCTACAGCAGCGGCATATCCCATTACACGCATTTCCTTTCCCTAAAGTTTGTGTACATAAACATAATAATTCTTGTTAGGAGTTTACCACCTAAATATTAAAATAGCAGACACAGCAAACTATGTAATCAACGCTAAATGAACATATAACCCATTTAATCACATTGAAAGATGAGTAGAAAACTGAACTATAATAAATTTGTAAGAACCAAATACATGCATGCTATAACAGTAGTTATTAGAACAATCAGTAGTATTTTTTCAAGTACATCTGAAGACGTGGCATAGCGAATACTGCTTGACTGTGGAGACATAAACTCTCTAGCGATCATCATTGTATTGCGGAGATTAGTCCAAATTTGGAGGTATGTTAAAAATATTGACTAACCAAAATCATTACAACTTCAATGTGAAACTAATAATTAAGAAGATATTCACATGAATAAAGTAAACCAGTATCGAACTACCATATAAAATCTACAGATGAGTGTATTTTTTAGTTTAAAGTTTACCAATCGGTGAACAGTACGTATTACAACATGATATAATACGTGGAAGTTTATATTCGGAATACAAAAAACTAGAGTAATATACACTTTTTTATATCAGATATCCCATGTTTCTGATTGTTTTACGTAGATAAGCAACTCTATTGGTTTGACGATATATGACAATAACCGAAAAGCCTGAGAACTTGATGTGTAGCGTAAAAACGCAGCCCATATATCATTCTACGTATATCTTGATAATAAGTTCGTACATTTATATCTAATTGATCAATGATTAATTTATAATTGACTTTTTCTATATAAAAAGCGTCAAAGAATATGATGAAGTGGTAATCCAGAAAAACGCAACGAACCACATCAGTAGCTGATGGTTATTCCTGAAAGGATGAGGAATATGCAACCAAAACATTCAGCTCAGAGAACGAAGCACCACCATAAAAGATAACGGAATAGTATAATCCTTTTATCAAGTTAAAACTATTTATTTCATGATACCAAATGTATAGGATAGGTTTTTTTGTACAATGTTGTTGGATAATCTCTATGTTCTGTTAACAAATGTAAATCGTAATATGCGGTTATACATTCCACATAGTAATAATATATATTTTGAAAATAGTAATCACGGAATTCACACCGGTTTACAATTATGATAGTAGATTGTTCGAAGTGTTGTAGTTGAAACTTTCTCACAACAATTCAAGACATCGGTTGGGAACCGTCTGTAAAACACTAACATCAATCGAAATACGATTTCCCTACTGTCATAAAACTCAAGTTTTCCTTAAATTTCAACGATCAACTCAAACAATTTCAACTTATTGATAGAGTTTATCACAACTTTTAATTACTTTTAATAAAAGATTTAAGTAGTTAAATAGTAATATCATATCATTACTGCTAATACTTTTACTATCGCTACCACTACTGGATTTGAACTGACAGTTTTGTCTCTGTGCTAATGCGGTATGGCAGCCTGAACAGATGTACATGAGTACGAAGTTCTACTTTGTATCTGACTGACTGGATCCGTAGTGTCATTTAGTGTAAATATACATAATTTCAATTTCACTTAGGTTAAGGAGTATTTATAAGACAAATCGGAACATATTTATTAACTATTATAATTTAAATAAACTAGAATAATAAGTCTGTTTAGATCAGAAGTGGACATTTCTCAATCGTATTCTGAGTGTTCAAAAGATTTGACAATGTGTTATCTAAATCAAGACTATTTTGTACAGTTGGAATTTTTAGAAAAACAGACGGCACAACTAATGAGAAGATGAGAAAGAAACAAAAATTATGAATTTAATTTTATGAAAGTCTTACTTTCATTGAAAGATGACGTGAACAAAATCCACGTCTTTGAGATTCTTTGGTACAACCCTCTCGACTACATAAACGTCGCCACTGTTTTCCATTGAATTTTTTTCTTACACCATTAGGTGTCTTGACAACATCTCCCTTAAAATAAATTCAAGTTACAAACAGATAAGATAACCAAAGTAATTGATACTAAGCCAAATACAATTTATGATAGTGACACTAGATTTAATTAAATAGTATTGATTATTCTTACTTATTACCCATTTAATTTACTCATAAATAACTTCCATCTAATTAGATGAATGTTATCACTAAAAAATTAGTCATTAGAAAGATAATAAAGATTACAAATAAAGATATGAGTATAAGCATTCAAATGAGATACTGAGGTACTCAAAGGTACCTAATCTTAATGGTATGATAAAATGCACACAAATAGATAAATTTCCAATTATATAATTACTATTTTAGAAAGATTTATATTGGACGATAAATACAGCTCAAGTACGCAATGAGTATGTAGGTGACATCGTACTAAAATGTATCTTTTATCAACATTACATTTTCATAAATTACCATCAATTGTGATATGGTAGCTGTGAAATCGTTTGATGTCCGTAGTTCAAATATAAGGCACACTAAAAACGATGAAGATAATTCTTGATTTTGAACAGATCTTTCTTATTACGAATATCATAGTTGCTTGTTAGATTGCAGTCCTAAATTTTTAAAATATGGTGCATCAGGTGACGGATTACTTATTGAGAATTAGATCAGAGATTGTCTAAATTTTAAAGTCAAGAACAGGTAAATTTTTTAAAAATTTAAAACGGCAGTTACTAATAATAAGTTAGAAGTGGTGACAAAACATCTGTATGATTGGGACTGTATACTTACCACTTATATAGGAAAACCATTTTACGAGAGTGCTTTTCATTCAAACAATACACCAGCTAAGTAGGAAATTGATATGCTATTAGAAAAACAGAGTCTGGATGATATCATTGACTTAAAATTCGATACAGAAAAGTTTTGATACGATGGAACACCAAGTAATTTCGATAACGACATTGATTTCGAGATTTGGCTACCCTACCTAACAAGTGCGTGAGGTGATAGTGTGGCCATATCTTAACTCATTATTATATAAAGCTTTTTAGGATATGAACAAAGTTTTCAGGCAAACTCTTTAAATCAGGTTGCTTTGCTGTCCAGGAAATCGAAGGCAACCTAGATGTCAGAAAACCTGATGATTGTTGATATGGAATAGTTACAATTATGTGGCAGTATGGAATGGAAGGCGTGATCTTAAGCTTAATCCTTTATCATAAACTCTAAAATGATGGCTTCATACGAAATCGAGAATTTACCATCAGAAGGAAACTGTGCAAACTTTGATTCACCTTATGAGCCAAAAACCATAAGCAGCATAGTTATTTATGTTCAGTCCTATTCTAGTTGCTAGTTATCTAAAATATTATTATACTTCCAAAGACAATTTATTATCAAATAAACACAAAGTAACAGTAATAAAAGTGGTAGTTTGGGCGTATACAATTATTATCAAAGGCTATTTTTTGTTAGTAAGTAAATTTTATCTAAGATGACATAGTAACTAAGCACAAGATACGATTATCCTAAATGTTAAAGTTGATATGACGTTTACAAACTACATAGGTGAGAGGAGTTTTAGACCAACAATAAGATCAAAGAAAATCAGTCAGTCAAACACGGACGACCTGAAGGAAACTGTGATTTGAACTAAGTTTGCTGCACTGACAGTGACTGACTTAAGCTACCAAGCTATTATCAAAAAATGATATTATATTAAAACTCACAGGAGAATTTCATAATAAAAAATCGGGCTTACTTTCCGAAATCTTTGTTGTATATTTACAGCTGTCAATGAGGCTGTGATAGAAGACCCACTTGCACCGGGTGAAATCCACTTTGAGTTGGGTGAACCGAATTTGCCAGGATCTAACAAAAGAGATGTGTTAGCCAACGGGATAATGGCAGAAGTTGGAGATGGAAAACTTTGATACAAGCTATTGTTTTTAAACCTCATATCAGAATGTGATATCTTCATATTATTATAACTAGTTATGTAGCAGGTGCTTACAGTATTTGTAGTAGTTGTTAAAAATGAATCACTTTCTGAACTGCTGGTGACTATAGGGCAAGAAGAAATTTGAGACTCGAGAGTACTTGAAGTTGTTGGATTTTTGTCTTGCATCTCAAGTATGTTTGAAGTACGCTTTTTTAGTCTTCGCCAGTGAGAGGGTGATTGATCTGTATATGAATTCAAATCTGATCTAGATGATGATGCTATTAAGCTCAGAGAATTGTTATTGCTATTGCTTTCATAGTGTATAGATGGAGTTGGAACATTTTGAACTGGAGTAGGACTTGCGTCGGCACAACAAAAGCTATCTTTACATAGTGGAGAGTCTAAAAATTATGGAAAAATGAAAATAACTGTATTTGCAACTAAAGTACACAGAAAACAAATACGATTTGATTGTTTTTAACTAATTTCACATTTGTAAAGAACAAATTTTATTCAGCATAACATTCTTCAGATAACAGCTACTGTATTCAAGGCATGTGATAATTATAATGGATATATAATGAACATGTGAGTTACTACTGATGTGTTAACTAAAACAAAATACATGAACAGACAACAAACGTTCACCATAGCATGCCCGTAAGACATAATCCAACCGGTGTATCAGTCGAATGATAGCCACGTCATAATAAATAGGTCTGAGTGCATTATTCTGGTAACCTGGACTAACATCTTTCAGTTCGAATCTTACCTTCGTCCTGGTTTACCAAATAAGTCCATTATACAGGATAATCTAATTGGTTAGCTATTCGTCTTTTGTCTACTTTTCGATTTTACGATTGGACAGTTAGATATTGAGAATCACGTGATGTAAACACTGTTTATAAAACCCCTAGACCAGAGAACATCGCTATGTTATGTTATGTTACATAAAATACAAATGTTAGCATCACTGTCACGATTGAAATTTGGCCATTAAACAGTTATAAATGGCCTAGGAATAATCACATGATTTTTGTCTGGCAAGACTAACTAGGGAAATAAATAAAATCCAAACTATAAATCATTAATGGAACTGATTGGCTTTTTTATATGTTATACTATTCAGTGGATAAAATAATTCTCGATATACAAGCCCTAGATAAAAATTGACTTGTTAGTTTTGCGAATACAATTAAAGTTGTATTGTTTATTCACCGTTAGTCCTAACAGTTAAATGAAGCACCATTTTTCTTCAGGTTTTACAATACTAAATAATTCTAGATAACATAGCTCACAGTTAGTTATAATGTATTCATAAACTCATTCGTCATTTTTGTTTAGATCTTGAATTCGAGTATGGTTTCATACTCCTGACTCTTTTACTTTCTGACCTTTTTAGAGGCATATTTTCTAAGTTTAGGATTTGGCTGTTATACACCCTGTCTTTCTACTTTATTGCTTTAAAAATTAGTAGCATTCTCCGTGTTGATGAAATGTGAAGACTGGATCCGAAAAACATTCTCTTTAGGTTCTTTATCGTTCATGACTGGCTAAGAAATACTAGATGTCTGCTTAGCAAACGTTTCATTACAGCTAATCACTTTTATCATATGCAGAAACCCCTAGATGTAACATTTTCATCGCCAGACTTTTCAGGAATTGACCTTTCCGAAAATATTCTCAACCACCGAGTATTTAGATCTAATAGTTTTGTTTGGTTTACACTAATGCTTATGGCAAATAATGAAGCAGTTAATCCTGAGGCATATTTTAGGTTACTGGATGATGGCAGTACATTGGTTGATGAGTGTTGAATATGTCGAGAGATACATAGAATAATATAAATAACTTAATAATATCTAGAACACAGAAACAGAAAGATGAAACTAATCCAGAACAAATCCAAATCAAGAACGTTCCTAATGCGTTCTTGAAGTTTCAAAATGAGTCCCGAATGTCCTAACTAAGCCATTTTAAACATAAACTCAGTAAGATAAACGCAATAATAATCTTCAGTTACAGCCGATTCTATCCAAGAACCTGTCAAACAAAAGAAGTCCAAAGTGATTCACGTTCTGGGACAAAGGTTGATAAATAGGAAAAGTAAGCCAAACAATGGAACAGAAGTAAGTAACGAGAGAGATCTTTACAGTTATAACATGAAGCACTAAATGATCATGAATAAATCTTATGAATTTCAAGTCTTTTGATAGATATAGGAAGTAATCAATCACGACATAGATTATAAATGATGGGAAGAATAATTTTAGTAAAAGAAGGATAAGTTAATAGAAAATGGAAAGATGGGATGACAAATGAGATAGAAGATGTGGTTTGTAAATTCTATCTGGAGCATAAAGAATTCATGTAAATATATGAACATATTACACAATGAGGTTTTGAATACTCATACATTGATATGATTGGGATGTGTTGTGAATACCTGATCACTATACACCACGATATACTACAGTGAACAGGACAAAAGAGTTTGAAAGAAAACTGAATCTGAGAAACTAATTAGTGAAACCAATATTATAAATATCATTTGAATAATATCTTTAGTAAGTACTAAGTTTGGATTTGATAGTTTCACAGAAATCGAGCATTGGGTAGAAAGTAATTAATAATAAATTGAATATGATTTTGATGATATCCAAATGAGTAAGAATTTATACATTATTGCGAGTCACTTCTGTATGAGACAGAGTCCTGATCATAGCTGCTACCTTGAAGTGGTGGTCGCGCTTGTCTATCGTGATGACCTAACCAAGTTATATTTACTGGAACATATGTTCCTGAAGGTTCTACAGTGCCAGGCAGGTCGATTGGAGAACGATGAGACTAAAAGCAGCTACTCAAGGTCTGAGGGCGAAGTCGTACTGCTGACTGTAGAGGGGTGTGACAGCAGTAAGGTGTTTCCCTCTGACAACGAGCATATGCAGTGATGCTGCCTTCTCACGACGAAGGAAGGGGTTAGTAAAGGTCGACCCTAAAAGTTTCACACCTTACCTTAACTTATAGATCTCCATCTTCAGGGGCAAGGCTTTTTAACAAAAGCGGAGCAGAAAATTTAAAAGGCCATACATGACTTGCCTCAAGTAGTTGTCCCTTAGGCTCTGTGGGCACAATCCCGAGCCTCTGAGACCACGACTAATCTACTTTCCCCAAGAAATGCCCTTCTACAGAGTTGACACCCACCCTCATACCCGTAACAGCACACGAGATAGAATTGGTCACGATCAAATCCCTCCTACACCCCCTCACATCTCTCTTCTCCCCACGGCTCACCCTTCTCACATCCCTTTATCACCCTGCACCACTAATGCAAACGATCCAAGTACTTAAAACGTCATTCCTGGACTCCTGAAACCCCGTTCTAAACTTCATGTTTGGGCTTTTAATGTACAGACATTGTGTCAAATAAGGCAACAGGCTTCAATAGCTAGCACTTTAGAATCTCACGCCATTGATGCATGCCACATCTCCGAAACGCACATACAAGATCCGAGTGGCGTCATTTATTCGACCTCATCGTGTCAAAATAAAGAAGCAGCTCGATTTACTCTACGTGTAACTGGGACCCCTGCTGCTACCCTTGGCCTCGCTCGTGTAGGTTGAGCGTTGAATCCTAGGGCAGAACTAGCTCTCCTAGACTGGATACCAATCGATAGTCGCGTGTGAGCTGTGCAACTGAACAGGACAGTAAGGACTCAGAAAGATAGAGAAACTCACCGTTGCCTCTTTGTCATCTCTGTCTACGCTCCCACTCACTGCAGTTCAGACAGGGTGAAGGATGAGTTTTACAGTAAGCTTTCGGACCTTCTCCAAACTTTTAGGCTCTCTGTTTTAGTAATAATGGTTGATGAATTTAATGCTCAAGTAGGTAGACCAAGTGAACAGGAACGACACCTGGTTAAATCTTATGGTGTCGTGGCTCGGGGAACAGATAATGGCGACTGTCTGCTGCAAATATGCTCAGATAGCCGTCCATTTCTAGCAAACACTTACTTTAAGCATAAGGAAAAACATTTCTTGAACTGGAGACTCCCAAAGTCGTCTAAACGCTGGACTCAACTAGACCACATCGCCATCAGCCACCTATGGAGGTGTTCAATATAGGACTGTCGCTCGTTCTGGCGCACATGTCTAGATTCTGATCATGCTCTAGTGCGAGCGCGTATTTGTTTGTGACTTACTGGACGTAGGAAAGACACTGCAAGGAAACCTTTTAAGGTTCTACGTAATAATAACAAAGCTAAGAATATATTTCAAGAACAATCAGAAAAACAGTTAGGCAGCCATGTAGTAAGTGATGTTCATCCTCAGACAGCTTGAAATTATGACTAAAAAGCTATGGAGACAGCAGTAATATCTGCTTGTAAGGTAAACCATATGGCTAGGAAGAAGCCGTGGATCGCAGTAGCATCTACCGAACTGTTGGATGCTCGAAAACTAATCCCACCTGGCTCTGAACATGACGAAGAGCGAAGTCGGCTTAGGCACGGGCTGATAAGAAGCTTACGCAATGATTGCCAACAGTGATGGGTAGAGAAAGCGAAAGCGATGGAAAAGGCAGCGGCAATAGTCAACAGTAGACAATTGTTCCGCCTTATCAACGAAACCGGTATTAGAAATCCATCTGTTAGCGAAAATATCTCAGAAAAGGATGGCTGCACCATTCATTCTTAATCCAGGAAATTGGATCGATGGGCAGAACACTTCAGTGACCAGTCCAACTGGCCTTCAGACACACTTCGGTTGCCCGCGAGCTCCAGTCATCCTGAATAGCAAATCGATGTAAGTCCTCCGACCGTTTATGAAGTTGAGAAAGAGATAGGAAACATGAAGCAATGGAGAGCATCGGGTCCTGACAGACTTACGCCTGAAATTTTTAAGGATGGTGGTCATGTTTTACCAGTTAGATTAACTGAGATCTTAGGTACAATTTGGGAACTGGGCGTAACACTATCTGACCGGTCTCAGTCGCTAAGTGACCCAGTTTACAAGAACGGACAAAAGTCCTCTTGTGACAATCACAGAGGAATCAGCCTAACTAACATATTATCGAAAATATTGGCCTCAATAATACTCCGACGCATGAACAGAGCTCATTAAGAGCAGGCTAGAGGAAACCAGGCTGGTTTTCGACCGTATATACCACATTTTCACACAACGTCAGGTTCCAAAACAGACACAAGTTTAGACGTCCCACAATTTCCCGACCTTAAAGCGGAATTTGCCTCTGTTGATCGTGAGGTTCTGTGGCAGTGTCTGTTATTGAAAGGTGTACCAAAGTACATTAACCTTATACAAGCTCCCTACTCGAACACTACTGGTCGAGTGAGAGCTTATGGCGGACTGTCATCAGAGGTCTTTACTTCACGCGGTATCCATCAAGGATGTTCACTCTCTCCGTCTTTGTTTAACTCAGCCATAGACATGCTTTTACCGTTAAAATTATTTTCAGCTGACTTGTCAGGGGTAGACCTTTTACCAGGAAACTCGCTTGTTGACTTGGAATATGCCGATGACATAGTTCTATTCAGTGAAGTCGCTGACAAAAGGCAGAGTCTTCTGACTACCCTAAGCAGAAATGCAAGCATGTTCGGGATTCAGTTTCCCCTCCCCCGAAATACAAACTGTTGCTTGATAATTGGCTCACGTTGGCATCTGAACGAGTGATAGGGAGCGAAGCAGCTGAGCTGGTCAATCGCTTCACTTATCTGGGAAGTCTCGTCAGTGCTTATGACCTGGTGTCTGACGAAATCTCAGCACGGATACAGAAGGCTCGATTGGCTTTTGCCAACCTGCGTCACTTATGGTGTCGGTAAGATATCCACTTTCTAACTAAAGGACTAGTGTACTGTGCAGTAGTTCGCTCCGTCCAACTATACGGATGCGATACATGGCCGGTAAGTGTAGAGGAGATTCGTAGGTTGCTTGTCTTCTATCATAGGTGTCTCCGAAGCATCGCTCGTGTATCCTGGGACAACCGAGTAAGCAATGCTGTCGTTAGGAAACGAGTACTAGGTAAGGTTTGCAGGTCAATAGATGAAGTAGTGAAACTTCATCAGTTGAGGTGTTTGAGACATGTGTTACGTATGCCTAACCACCGACTGCCTCGACGAGCGATGTTTTGTGGTGTAAGAAGAGTAGGTTGGAAGAAAGCTAAGGGTGGCCAAACCAAAACATGGCATAAATCCGTCAAATTACAGACAAATGGACTGAGTCATGTTGGTAGATGTAGGCTACCTGGTTGGGGTCCGCGAGACCTACGTCACCAATGGTTAAAGACCTTGAAGGGAATGACTAAAAATCGTTTGCAATGGCGCAAGTGCATCGACTCTTTGTGTTCTCTCTAATTCTAACCTTCTGAATTCCTCACCATCTCTGTCTTTCTGTTTCTAAGTTTATCTCACTGAACTATACTTCTCGAATCATATCTTCACTCCCTAATCTTCTCCATTACTGCTAATACTTCTACTATCGTTACCGCTGTTGGATTCGAACTGACAGTTACGTCTCTGTGCTAATGCGGTATGGCAATTTCAAGTGATGTACTTACACACGAAGTTCTGCGTTGTTTCCTTCTATCCGTCTGTCTGTCAGTCGAAATTTGGGAGTTTCGAATGAAAGTGATCAGATAAGATTTTCAAGTTTAAATATTACACATTAGTGATGTGTAATAATTTTCTTCGTGTAACAGTAGTGGAAAATATGACTGGATGTTTTCTATTCAAACATTCTATGTTCTTTGGATCTTAGATTTATTTTACACTTTGTAAGGAACCAGAAAAGGAATAGTTTTAAATATTAACATCTGTTTTAAACCAAGATACTTCATCTCAAACATAGATATAAAGGCAATAAACAGGAATGAAATGATAGGAACATACTTTTAATTTCAGTCTTTATGGAACGTACGTAAGCGACTGTATCTGCAAACTCAACATTTGTATTTACTTGGCCTCCATCGATAAATTCATTCGTAGAGACGGTTGTAATATCTGTCCTAATTTCTGAAGGTGAAGAGCTTGTGTCCATTACTTAAACCTAAAAGTGGCAGTGAACAAAGAAAAACTAAATTAATCTGTCCGTCTTTAATAAGAGACGTAGAACATAAGCGCAAAATCCAAGTATTCCTAGTTTGTATATTAAATATCAATACTGGATGTATAGAGCTCACATCTTCTGTCAACGTTTTATCGGTTCCTATAAAAAGTAAGCTAAACTTAAGCCATTTAAAAATATTCGAATGTCTGCTGTTCGTTGTATTATTGGAAAGTTATATAGTAAATTTATTTTAGCCTAGTGGTAAATAGTTTACCACATACAGTAAAGAGATGAAGAAATAAGTATTCACAGACAGAT